GGAGGTCTGCGTCCAGACACATTAGGAGATCGAGAGTTTTTTAAACCTAGGCCTCCTTATTTAAACATAGTTACTTTAGGAACTGGAGAATTATGCTATAAAGTCTTACGTGGTTATATGCAAAGAAATATTCCAGAAGATTATAGGTATTATAGAAAAGGAATGTGCGAGACATATCCTATGACATACTGGTATGGAGAGGGATATAATAAGCAAAAATATGATTATTACCCCCAGGACACAAGGATTGAAGCAGAAACCTTTGAAAGAAAATTAGTGGGAACTAAAACTCTTGTGATGGAACATGGTCAACTTCGAGTTAAAACAAATTGGTTTTCTATTGATAAAACAAATACTTGGGAAGTAAATGATACAAAGACCGGAAATGGTCTTTTAGATCGTATAATAATTATGAATGATAAAGTTGGAGACTTGGTGCCCCCTGGATTCACAGCCCCAGGAACAACTAAGTGGGGAGCGTTTAGTCTGGTTAATTTTAATTACCTTAACGGACTAGGCATAGACCATCATGTGTGTTTTAATGAACCTAGAATAGGGAAAAATCCTCAGCCTGAAAGATTCACAATTGACCCTGACGCACCCAAAGAGTTTCCAAACTTCAGGAATTTCCCAAATTGGGACCTGAGAAGTGGTTTTTGCTCACCATTTCGAAGATCGTTAGATCAGCAAAAAGCTGACTGGTTTGATTATTTTGCATATGGCATAAATGGCACATTACGTCATGTGAGTCTGATAGTGCGTGGTGTAGGGGAGATTATGAGTGATAGTGTAGTGCAGGTTTCTAATAGTGTAATTCAAGGAACTTCTGATTCAATGGAAACTTTGGTAAAAGGAGTGAGAGAGCACATCATTAGGCCAGTCTGGGATGCTCTCTTTTGGCCTCTGTGCGCTCTCGGATTAATGTGTGGGGTGATTATTTTAATAATCGGTATGATTTTGGCCTGTAAAAACAACAAGTGGCAGTTGACAGGAAGAAAGCTGTTAGGAGAAAGAAAACCTGACCTGGTGCATCCAGATAAGATGGGAAGAGAGGTGTCAAGACAGGGGGAGCATTAGCCCCCACTCTTGCTGCTCCTGTTTAAGTGCAGGCCTCTCTGCACAGCATGTCACTTGCTCCTTAACTGTCAGTCTGTAACTTGAAGTGAACAAATGGCTCATCAAACTCACCCTGAATCTGAACTGCTTGATGCTCTGAATCTGGAGGTATGTCAGGATTTTATAATTATTTTATCCAGTTTATCTTTAGGATGTTGTGGATATTTCATAACTGGTGTAGACTTGTTGTGAGGATTATTGTTGTAAAACTATGCCTGTAAATAGGAATTGTTGTGTGATTCTTCCTGCAGCTTCTGCTGATTTATTTTCTCCTATAATTAAGAAGTGTTTATGCAGTAATGCAGTTACTTATTGCTTCATAGAATGAGTTATATATCTCATGTGGGACATATGTATGTACCTTACAGATGGACTCGATCCTGCAGAATATCACACAGGGATTAATCCCCTCTGCAAGTCCACCAACTGTTTTCTCTCTGAATGGCACATACTATTTGTGCACCGTGAACCGCAGGAGGGATGGATTGCCTCAGACTAAGACTATCGGGCTCCAGTGTGAACATGCTACGATGAATAAACGCTGCGTGTCTTGCAGGTTTATTCAGTACGTCCAGACCAAATGGAAAAGGGATTCAAGCGGGAGGCTGGTCAGGAGGACGACGTACTAATGTTGTCCTCTCCGGGAGTAAATGACCTGCTTGAGGGGACCCACGACGAGGAGCTGACAACGGCGCCCTCATCTGACGTGGCTGAAGAGGTTGTATCAGTAATGACGGCAGCTTCGACATGTGTCCCGTGTCCTGATGTGATATGTGAAATCCCTATGGTCTGTCTAAGTAGGGAGCCAGCAGGCATTCCTCCCCCTGTCCGAATCGCACCTGGGAGAGAAATGAGATGGAGGATTAAATCCCAGAAGGGGTGTTACTTTGTTTGTCAAAGCAAGATTATAGATTGCTTTCAGTTTATGAATATTTTGTCTGTAAAGACTGGATGGTTCGGCCCAGAAGTCTGTGACTCTTTTGGGACCGCACCTTTGGTAGATACGAGAAATCATGTTTTGGTTTTCAGCGCCAGCTTCCCACCGCAAATGATGGGATCGCTTCCGCGTGGAGAGGCTCCAGTGATGGATTTATCTTTATTCTTTTTGGGCGAAGATCCCACAGATGGAAGGAGGCAGTTTAAAGGTTATGTAACCACCCGCAAAGGGACCTTGTGCTTACCCGTAGCTGATGATGGCATTATGATGAGAATGAGGGTTGATGTGGAGGCCACAGTTAGGTGTCTGAGTGTTCAGCCGTTCCTGAGTGAGATGGATGCTAGATTTATGAAGGCTTGCATTGCTGCTCTATCCTTTTATGGTCCTTTGCCCAAGTTCGTCCCCGTGGGGGATGTCGCGAGTCCTGGCCAGTCAAGGCTTAGAAACAGTGGTAAGAGACAAGGGTCACACAAGGGTCAAGAGGACAATAGTTCAGGACTTGCTGGCGAGGACAGAACTGGGCAAAGGGTCAAAAGGCAGGCTGGCTTCTCTGAATCCACCCATGACCCCGCCCCTAACTCCACCTCTGGCGGGAAAAGAAGGACTGGAATGGAATAAGGACAGTCCATCTGGACCCAGAAGTTCTCAGGAATGCTGAAGGAAGATCTACAATTTGCCACCAACATGAAGATTTATGACCTGTGCTCCCATTCCAGGAGTGCAACATGAACTTTTGTGCCCTCATGTGAATACTGCATGTAGTGAAAATGATACCAAATGTCTTATGTAGAGCTAAAAAAGTGTATTTGGTAAATGACCCCTTGACCTTAACTGTCAGGAGAGAATGACTTTTGACTCTTACATTGTTTAGAGCAGTCTCAGGAATGATATAAAAGGATTCAGCTCAGATCGGGCTAGAGAGAGAGAGAAGAGAGTTTTGGGGAGATTCTGAGAAGACAGGAGCTGGTGTAAACTAACTCTTATTTAATAATTTTGAACTAATTCCTCCTTGGGGGATAGCAGTTGTTTTTATTTACCCATTTTTGTATTTTTGATTTTGTAATAAACCTTTTTTGAAAAAGAAACATAATCCTGATTCTTTCAGGTTTTCTCTAAAGCTTCACGTTTGGGGCCCTGGCCATAAATTGCACAGAGGTAAGCATGTCGATCACAGGTCTCTGAATTATCAGGACTTACTTTGCAGTTTATAATAAAATAATATAAAGAAACCTTAAGATAAGGGGAGTTTTAACTCCCCCCTCCTTGCGAGTAACGAGTTGTCTTAAGGGCGATAAAAACAGGATATTAGAGGTTATTTTTGGGTCTGATTGCAGGTTGAAAAAGTCTCTACCAGCTGGAAGGTTGGATTAATAAATAAATTGATAAACTTATGATAGCCTGATCAACTAGCATAAATCATTTTATATTTACCAACCTCCCACATAAGCTGTTAGAGGCGCAATTAATCCGGATAATCCAAAAAATTGCTGAGAGGCTTGGCTTGCCTCCAGACTTCTCTCTAGTATCTTAACCAAAAGGTAACGAGTTTAAAAGAAGTGGAATACTCTGAGGATTGCTATTCGTGCAAGTCATTTCACCTTTAAAATAAAAGACACGGTTCTAATTAGATGGTCCAAACCCGGGTCTAGTACGATTAAACTCGCCGACACCCCCACTCGAACCCTGATGGATGCACCGTCTCATAAGTTCTAACGGAACCGGCAAATGGGACGGGCACGCGACAACGGTATGTCCTAAAAGCTCTGCACCGCTCGCTCGACCATGAAGAAAACGTGGGTGCTCGCTGCTTGTTGTAACCGGCTGTGCGCTCTGGCGCAAGGAAGAGTCGATGTGGTCACGTGACTCACGCCAGCTATATAACTTTATTAAACAGAAATTTTATTAATTATTATTTTGTTATTGTTGAGGGGGCACAAACAGAAAATTCTTTTAAAAAATTAAAAATAATTAAAATAAATAAATAAATATAAAAAAAATCATTAAACCTCAAAAAGGGCACTTTGGGCACATGGGACAAAAGGGGCAGGGTCTCAAGCACCCTCCGCCAGACCATGAGCCACCTCTTCCTGTCCTGCAAGCCCCAGATTGTGGCCACTAAGCTGTAAATGTTTCCATCAAGAGGTGGCTCAGTATTGTTACACAATGATGAGCTGCCAGTCAACTTCAGGGTTCATTTCAAGATCCTGGTTCTGGTCTTTAGGGCCTTACATGAACAAGCACCATCATACATTGGTGATCTTCTCAGTCCCTACACCCCCAGCAGGTCCCTGAGGTCCAGTGCCCACTGGTTGTGCAGTGCCAGGCTAAAGACCAAAGGTGACAGATCATCTGCTGCTGTGGCCCCCAGACCCTGGACCTCTCTCCCCCTGAGCCTGAGATCAGTGGACTCAGAGGTCTCCTTTAAGAAGCAGCTGAAGACTCAGCTGTTCAGGCTGGCTTTGAGAACAGTCTCTCCTGCCTCCTATAGCTCTTTATTTTATTTAGGATCTGAACTAATCTTATCTATTTAAGAGCATTATAACTTGTTGTGTTTCTGCCTTGCTCTCTCTTTCACACTGGAAGCTTTTATAGAATATGGTCTGTTAATCTGTTCTATTTTGTTTTAATAAACCTTCGCTCACCTGCGTTCCAGCCTTCCTGTTTTTGATTCTCAGTGTCCATCAGCTGTGCAGCACCATTTTGTAAGTGGGTGATGCACAGAGTGCTCTGCTCTGTAAGATGAACACAACAAGCTCCTGGCTGATGGTAGTCTCTGTCTTTGTGTCCAATGATGAAGCCTGTCTCCAACGTCCTATCACTAACCCATGGTGCTCTGGAGACAACCTGTCCATAAACACCTCAGAAACTGAAGACATGATTCTGGACTTGAGTGAAAAACACAACAGTTACACATGTATTATATCTTTATACTGAGTATTTATTATATTACATATGAGGAATATTTATTTTAAATAGAAACTTATTTCTTACTTTTGTCCATCAGAGCTCAGTGAGTAGAGAAAACAAGAGCGTCGCCCTCTGGTGGTCTCATTAAGCATTACATGAAGCTATAATGACTAAATCAGCACCTTCCCAACACTTTTTATTTGCTTCTCAGAGCTGCTAAAAATAAAAGTAACAACATCAAAAGTTTCTATCACATTCTTTATAGAAAGTAAGATTTTTTAGTTTGTTTGAAGTTCATAAAGAATAAAACTGGTCAGATTTAGATTAAAAAACATCATAAAGAAAAAAGTATTTTACTTGTTTTTCGTGGCTTTTGAAGAGACCACCTAAAATAATAAAAACATAACAGATGTTATGTGTGTTTATTAGTCCCATTCTGAACACACAGGTGTGTTTTATTCTGCTCCAGCAGGTGGCGCTAGTGCACCTTTACGCTGGTCACCGACCACAAGAAGAAGCAGAAACATGAAGCTGCTAGCAGAGCTAGCTTGTTGTTGTTCTGGTGAGTGAGGAGAATATTTGAGGCTCTGCAGTAAAAATGTCTTCACTTCAGTCTCTGGGAGAGTTGATCAGCTAAAGCGACTAACTGCTGCTGCAGAAATCTTCTCACCAGGCTGTGGAAACTTTCTTCTCCTCCTCAACAACTTGGTGGAGTTCTTTCCAGAACCAGAGAAGATATTCTGCGGTCTTCGTGACAATCGGAGCTCCAGAATCAGGTTGTGGGTCAAAAAAGCTTTTTTCTAGACTTCCTGCCCTCTGGATCTGCTGCTGTTCCTTTGGTCTCTCTGAGAAACGCGCTCGTTTTGCTGCTTTCATCAGATTGAAGAGGTTCCCTCTATCAGACTCGCTCTTCTGAGTTGGTCATGATGCAGGATCGCTGCTCGCTCTCTGAGCCATCCTGCTCACACTCTCCGACGGAAAAGCCCCGAGTCTGAATGTGACTCTGGAGGAAAAAGCGGTTAGCTCTACTCCGTGAACTCTGGTGACCAAAGGTCCTCTTTTCCAGACTGGATCTGTCCTCAGCTGATCAGAACCCAAGCGTTGGATCTTTAATCTCCTGCGTTGTTCTGAAGCAGCATCTTAATCAGCTCTCCTGCTTTGTTTCTATTGCAGCTGTTAGCTAAACACGGCTAAAAAACCCTGCTACCACTTCAGGATCATCCATCAGCTGGGACTGATTCATCGTGTGTTCTTCACCACCTGGACCTGGACAGCATGGACACCGGTAGGGCTGCCACCTTTCAGATATGTAAATAAGCCTTAAACAAGTTTATCTTTACTTTATCAGAACAAGACCCAAACTTAGGAGCTAGTGTATTTCTCTGAGCGTATAACACACAGCACTGCCTGTACATGACATCTCTCATGTCCTCAGTGATGATATGACCAAGATGTTTAACATTCTTGGTGACACTAATCACAGAGTCTGACAGATAAAACTCTGGAAACTTCATTTGCTTGTCCTCCTCGGCCCAGCAAATCATAACCACACTTTTAGCTGCATTATACACAATGTTGTGTTCTACTTCATAGTCAGAGCAGATATCTAGTAGCTGCTGTAGATCAGCGGTGCTCGGACTTAGAAGCACTAAATCATCCTCATACATCAGATGATTTATGACACCACCCGCTGCACAACCAGTCCTGCTGACCTTTAACCTCACTGATAAATCATACATGTACAGGTTAAAAAGAAGAGGGGATAGAACGCCTCCTTGTCTGACTTCATTACTGACCTTAAATGGCTCTGACATACTGTTACCTCATTTTATGTGTAACATTTGCTTTCCATACCAATAAACCAGGATGTGTACAATGTATCTTGGAACACCTCTTTGCAGCAGCTTTATGAATAGCTGACATGTTGGGGTTAGTTTTTGACCCAGGACACGGAGAATCAGTCTCGGACGCAGGAAATCAAAGCAAACAGGGTTTATTTAAGGAAAAATGAGGGAGAACACAACGTGTGGCGATGGTCTCGGGCTCGAGAGATTATGGAAATGAGAGAATTAACTGGCTGCAGACTGGTAGCTGATGTGAAGGAGAGTTGTGGCTTACTGTATTGTTGGTAGCTGAGGGCTGGAGGGGGAGGGAAGGAGTCAGATCTGAGGAGGTGGTGAGCTTGTAGGCAGGGTGGTGGCTTGAAGAGTCGAACGGGTTATTGTCCAGGACTTCAGGAAAGGTGAGCGGTGGGAGCGCAGGGCGGACGGGCAGCAGGCAGACGTGGGCTGAGGGTTAGGAACACTAATGAACAAATGATGATGAATGATGGTTGAAACAAGATAACTGAGACAATGAATGAAATGCTGGAATGAAGTACATAGAGACTGAGGAGTTCTGGTTTCTATATTTGGTCGCAATCTCCTTTAGGGCATATATACACATGTTTGTACCACGCTCAGACTCAAACCCAAACTGATTGGCTGTGATTTTTAAGGCGTCATTAATTCTGTCCAGCAGAGTTCTTTCCAAGACTTTTGAGAGAGTGCTAGCCAGAGCAATGGGCCTATAGGTATCCATGCTACCACCTCTCCCACCCTTGTCTTTCATCACTGGGACCAACAGAACAGCTAGCACTGAATCAGGAAAACATCCATGAGCAAGAAATTATGAAATGCATATAGCAAGGAGTGGTGCTAACTACTGCTAGCATACCTTAGGTGTTCAGCAGGTATGCCAGCCAATCCAGTGGCCATAGATGAGCCTCAGTTTTGTGATGCTTCAGTCAGCAGCAGCAGCAACTAACAGGGAGAGCAATGGGGGGTAATGTCCATTTTTCATATGTTGATGGTAAGGCTGGGAAATAAACCGAAAAATTATCGTTATCGAAATTTCTGACTTATATCGAAATCATTTTTCCCATCAATAAATTTGATAATAAAAAAATGAAAAGATGTGTGCAGGTTGGCAACGTTACCTTTAAGAAGCTCTACCACCTTGAGTCACGTAGAAATGTGACTCAACGTGTTACATTTGGCAGCCCCATCTAGTGGACAACTTTTGTTTTATGCGCATACCTGTAGTTATTGTCCATTTATCGTTATCGAGGTGAAATCCTCAATATATCGTGATATTGATTTTCAATCAATCAATCAAATTTTATTTCTAAAGCGCTTTTCAAACAAAGTGTGATTCAAAGTGCTTTACAAAATGCATAACAGGTTAAAAACATTTACAAACATATGCAAGCACACGCACACACACAGACTCACACACACAAGTAAAAATTATATTAGGCTGAGTCCAGATGAGCCAAGTATGGTAACGCAAGGAAACGCCATCAGAGGAGCCGTCTGCCCCGGCAGCATCAGGTGTTCCACACTAAGTCAGGGCGCTCTGTGGAGGGGGAGCATAGACCCCCACCTATAGAGCGCCCAGGAAGCTACAGTCGACCACCGCTCCCGGGGCAGAGGGCCCCCACAGAGGAAACACTGGATTAAGATGAGTAAAAATGTAATAAAAGAGCTAATATAAATGACAAAAATTAGAAAATAAGTAATAAATAAAATGATAGACAGTAAAATAATAATTTAAATAATAAAACTGTGCTAAAGTATAATTATATAGAACATGCAAAGCAAGTAATAAAATATAATCATGTAAAACGAGAAATAAAACTGTAGAAAATATTTAGATAAAAGCTAACCTAAAAAGATGGGTGTTGAGTCTTGACTTAAAAACATGAACGTTCTCTGCGGCCCTGAGGTCCTCTGGCAGCTCGTTCCAGAGGCGAGGGCCATAACACTGGCCAGGATTTTAGGCCATATCGCCCAGCCCTAGTTGATGGGTTAACATCTAAAGCATTGACCCTGACCAGAAATCCATCATACAAGCAGATTATTTTGGTCTAAATGAAATTACTGTAAATACGACTACAACAACTGACATTATACTATATATATATATATATATATATATATATATATATATATATATATATATATATATATATATATATATATATATATTTATATTTGAAACCACACCAGAATCCCAACCGAGCCGCCACAATGCGGGACAGAAACTGAGGCCAATGCGGAAGTGAAATAAATTGCAGTTCCACCCTCATCCACTGGGGGCAGGTGTCAGAAGCGAGCAAATCCTCATTGACTCCCATGTTAAAAATACCAATTTCACAGCAAAAATAAACATGTTTACAACCTGGTACCAGAACATGTTTTTGGTTTAAATTATCTAGTTTACACTCATGACAACTCTGAGGGGGGTGAATTTTTTTCTCACTCTTCTGTTTAAGTGTATTAAAAGTCCAAAATTCTGTATAATTAATGAGCATCAGACCCACGTGACCGCAGAGCTAGCTCCGGGGAAAGGCCTCAGTCTGAGCCTCGGCCTCGCCTGAAAACTGTTCCGCCATTTTCAGTCTCTCACCTTAGACCATTAGTTGTAGCATTTGTGCGTTCTTTTTTAGACATTATTTGTGCAATTGTTGGACAAAATGACTTGCTGTGGCATTAATTGCACTAATAGAGCGTCCACGGAGTCTCCACTTCATTTTTTTCGGTAAGTAAAATTATATTTATGTATTTTGGGTCCAGCTGAGCTTCGATTTTAACATGTACTGTTTAACCATGAAATTTAAATGTAATAGGGTAAAACCCAGTGCATTTAACATAACACTGCACTTTAGAAAATGGGTTGAAATATAACATGTTGGTGGAGCTGGGTTCCCACTATCGGCTTGTGAAGCTCTCGGGAGACCTCTGTTTTCCACCCACAGCTCGGCACATCTCTGATCGCCGCGTCTCCTGTCTGCTTCGCGGGCTGCCGGCTTATGGAGCTCTGGGATGGAAACCGATGTTTTCCACCCAGTTCTCCCCAGCGGCAGCTCTGCGCATCTCAGATTGCTGCGGCGCTTCTCTGCTGTGCGGCTGCAGGCTTGTGGAGGTCTCGGAGACCTCTGTGTTCCACCCGGTTTTACCCAGCGGTCAGCCCGGCGTATCTCTGACTCAGAAAATCTGGTGTTGTGCACAGTTAACTCCGGTTGCAGCTAGGTTGCTACCTCCGTTAGCTTAGCTCCTACCTCCGCGTTAGCTTTGGGTTAGCTTCAGGTTAATTTGTAGCTAGTTCGACCGGGTATCGTCAATTGATCCCAGCCTTACAGCCCCACCCTCAGCTCCACCTCTCTTCCCTTTGGTGGAATTGTCTGGGCTTGACGGAACCTGTGACACGGTCAAAATGGCGGTGGTGGCCACCTCCCATTTCTCCTCAAAAACGTGTTATTGGAGCCTATGGAAACCCATTGTCCATATATGTATATATTGATGATCCTAACCAGTTTTTTTCTGAAATGCATACCAAAAGATAAATAACAGGATACAGATACACAGTTTTCATATTATGTCTGTATGTTAACACAGCCAAATAATGGTGGTTTAAATCGAACTGAAACATACTACACACCCTAATATTTGTCTTTGCAATGTCCCACCGCTTCCTTTTTGGCATTCTTATTAACCAGGATGTACAATACAGTATTCAATAGAACAGAAAGCAATAAATGTAGTCAAAGCATAACTGTAGCCTACCACATTTTTATCATACACAATTTGAGTCATCCGTTGCTTTTTTGTGTTGAAAAAAATATTTTCAATAAAACTTTTTTAATTAAATAAAAAGAACAATATTCGACCTTATATTCACTAATCCAGTTGCTCAAGCAAGCCTAACTACTATAACATGCTGCACTGAAACTCGTCTTTTTGTTTGCACATCACCTTTCAAATCTACTGAGCTTTTTCATCTTTCAGCCAGTTGCTGAGGCAAACTAACTTGTTGACGTTTTTCGAAAGTAAAGCTGACCTGTTCTTGTTCACAATGTGACCTGTAACTGAGAAAAGTCGTTCACAGGGAACAGTGGTTGCAGGAGTGGCTAGATATTTCTGAGCTAGTGAGGCCAGCTTCTCATAGGCTCCTGAATGAGATGCCCACCACCTCAATTCAATTCAATAATGTTTATGTTTATTTATTTGGCAGATGCTTTTATCCAAAGCGACTTAGTATTTTTAACCTGTAGGGCATGTTGTGATCTGTGGGGGAAACTGGAGTACTCGGAGGAAACCATGCATGCATGGGGAGAACACGCAACTCCACGCAGAAAGGCCGCAGCCGAGTTTCAAACCTGCAACCTTCGTGCTGCGAGGCAACAGTGCTAACCACTGCGCCACCATACAGCCCATAATACTTTATTAATCCCAGAGGGAAATT